TATATGATTTTAAGATTCCATAAAACCAATTTATATAGAACAAAATTTTCAATTACATAGTTTTAAATAAATTATGAAAAATACAGCATTATACTTTAAAGTTAATTTGTGAAACTATATCTCATTATATAGGGGAGACGATTTGTTTACAGAGATTGAATTCAAATAATGATTTTTTCCTAGAAGCCAGTAATTGTAGTGGATACTATGAGGTATATGATTAGAAAACGAATTAGTTGTTTAGAATTCTCCTTTAGTTGTTTAATTTTGTTTTCTCCTAAAATATAGACTTGTTAAAAAGAATAAATTAATAACTCAATTTTTATAAAATAATTGATAATTCAATTTTAATTAATACATTTAAAATTATGGAATGCCTTTAAGTCATTTAATAATAAACTGCTTTCACTCTGATTAAAAATCACTAACAAACAAAAATTTTTAAGAATAGTGCAAGAGAAAAAAAAATCACATCATTAAATATAAAAGGTGACAAATATCAAATTTTTACAATATAATTTCAACAATGTTTCAATTTTCAATTGCAGCCCTTTTAAATCTGTTAACTATATTCTAATATTGAAAAATTCATAAATTCATAGAAACATTTGGATTAGAACATTTGGATTAGAACAATTGGAAATATAGTTCTACATAGAACTATGTAAAGAATAATATCTGTTTTAAGTTGATATCTTATTTTTCTAGGGTTTTCATTAAAGTTGAATTGACATAGTGGCTATTTTTGGCACTTTAATTTCAAATAGGTAATGATAATGAAAAAAAAAAAAAGGAATATTATATAATTTATCACTTTAATTCAGCTAAATTTGAATGCCATTTGAGATGAGAATTTAATTAAGATTAGATTATATAGCACCCTATTACATCTTTGGTTTTCAGAATAAGAAATTATATACTAATGTTTAAAATTGTTTCTTAAAATGATGAGTGAGTAAATTAAGCTTGATGAGCAACAATGCGAAAATATTTCAAGTATAAAATCCATGAGTTAATGATGTTTGAGTTTTTATTTTTAATTATTTTATAATCTACTATATTAATACTATGTTCTGCTGCTTTTTTAACTTTGTACATATCAAAATATGACCAATTTGAAAAACAAGATCCACTTAATGACATTTTTAATAGTAATTTAATCAATTATCAATTCGGTTTTATCTTTTTTACATTTTCTATTGTTGTTATGTTTATAATATAGATAATTGGAAGAATTCCATCACTTAAAGTTAGGTGTTGTAAGTTGCATCTTTTCTTTATGGTTATTCCAGTTTCCCTTTGAAAGATAATGCTTTCGATTTATTTCCTTGTACTTTAGGAAGTTTCTTTTTGATAAATTTGATTCAAGAAAAGATTTAATATTGCATCGGAACCAGTTTGCAAGTCTGACATCTCAGGACCGAGTACAATTGAAATTAGCAAATTCCATAATGTGAATAAACAATTTACTTAAACTTATTTTTCATCGAGCATTCCTCCTTTCAAAAATATTGTAATTGACAATATATTATTCTACATAAAATACATTTTATATATTAATAGAATGTATCAAAATAATTTTAATCGTAGTAAATAACTGAATATTTAAAGAAAGATTTAGATAATAAACTTAGTAGGAATATGTTGTTCTATATTTTTATTGTTTATAGAAATTTAAATTATCGTCTTTTGATTTAATAGTCTGAAGATTTATTAAATTCTGAATTATATAAAAAAGAATATTGTCGAGTGCCTATGAAAACCATTTAAAACTCTCCAGTCATAATGTTAAACTCTATGGATTTTTGAAAGGTAAGAAATGGAGTATTATCTTACTATGAGGGTGAGAAAATCAGTTGAATCTCAAAAAAAAAAAATTTTACTTTGCTCGCTATCAAACCCATTTTAGTTTGACTTAACTAAAATACTTATTTTAACATGAGCAAAGAAAATTATTCAATTCAACAATAGCCATATTCAATGAATTAATATATTTATGGAGGATGGGACTATAAAATAATTCTAATCTTTATACATATTTATCACTTATTTTTCACATAGTTTGAGCAAAATTAAATTGCTGTGAGTAAGAATTATTTCAAAATTCTATATAATAATTATATACATGATTGATCATAATGAAATTCAAATTTCATAATTGAAATTATTTCTTATTAAATATTACCATTATGCTATATATAAGCTGTTATTAGAAAATATTTTTAAATATAATGGAATATAGGCTAAAATAAGCTTATTTCATCTCCCCTTTTTATTAAATTTTAGAAAATTTTTGCTCCAGCATAGATTTAAATTTACACTCTTTAATTTTTTCTTTATTTTCCTCCTTAGCTTTTAATCAATTTTATTACCTATTTATTAGAATATCCTCAGACATCTAAATCGCCCTCAAGGCACAAATATGAACCATTTGTTGGATGAAATATTAGATTTTAATCAAAATTTTTTCATAATATTTACAATAATTTAGAAATTTGATGCATTTTTTATCTTAAAGAAGTCCTAGGGTAATTGTATTAATCGTAGATTTTCTGAAGTACAGAGTATCTCTCCATTGCTAGGATTTTTCACTTTAAATTCTCATTCAATTCTGCGTTTTCTTTGACTTAAAATTTTACAATTTCTTTATTCTGATTATATCTTTAATGTCTCCTCCAGTATAATTTATTTTTTATCTAATACGCTATTTCATTATTTTTAACGGATATTGAATCATCTACCCAAGGTTTTCAATTGATAGTTATTTCACCATTTAAAATAAATAAATTTAATTTACTCGAAAGATTTTCTGTATACCTCTAATGTTGTCTTCACATATTTTCTGTAAGTACTCTCTTTTTCCTTAAGTGAAATTTACGAGATTTAATTAATTAAATTTAATTAGAATATTGATTATTTTACTTTGGTTTTTACTACTACCTCATTAATAGTATATTTAAATTTAGCTTGGAAACACCGAGTATTCTTTAGTTGAAAAAATTGAAACTATTAAATTTGATTTAGAAACCTCTTGTAAGTTACTTATAATAATAATATATTCTTTGTAATTCTGATTTTATCGATATTAATAGATAATATCTTTCCTGATCTATAATTGATTATATCATTTCAAGTTAAGGCTGCAAACAATAGAATTAGAAATTTATATACTTGAGAGTATATTCTTAAAGAAAACCTTTGAATCAAAATATAGATCTAATTATACTCTTCTTTTATAATTAGAGTTAATATTTTGGAAATTGTTCAAAAATAACTAGTTCAACTTTTAATTTCATCTTTGGAATTTTATAAAAAATTAAGTCAGAGAAAATCATAAATCAATACACAAGAAATTTAATGGTATACATCAATAAGTATAAAAATATATACTTATTGTAATTATTCAATTCTTTTTGATTGAATGCGTTATTAGCATAGATTCAGATGATATGGATTAGTTTTAAAGAAATATTTTAGAAACACAAAGATCTATTATAAGTAATCATTAATTTAAAACTAATAAAATAAGGGAGGAAGAAATAATGAGTACTTTATTTTAAATGCCTCAATTTATTAAATAGATAAAATACTGTTATTTAATTTTATCATTATATTACTACTAAAATTTGAGTGATTTGAATTTTCACACATCCTCCAAAAAGATTTCTAAAACTTTGATAGGATTTAAATTATCAGCAACGTTAATTACTTAATAAATTAAACATTTTGTATTAGATGTATTAATTATCAAATTTTAATCTGAAATTGTCTTTAATTCATATTTAACTTTAAAAATTATAAAATCTAAACTCTATTAGCAATTTTTTTTATATTAATATTAGTACAAATTTTATGGTTTATTGATTTAAAATAAACCTTTAATTATTTTATTTGGAAAACATTTTACATAAACTTGAATAGTCAAGATTATTTAATTGTTCCNCTCTCCATTGCTAGGATTTTTCACTTTAAATTCTCATTCAATTCTGCGTTTTCTTTGACTTAAAATTTTACAATTTCTTTATTCTGATTATATCTTTAATGTCTCCTCCAGTATAATTTATTTTTTATCTAATACGCTATTTCATTATTTTTAACGGATATTGAATCATCTACCCAAGGTTTTCAATTGATAGTTATTTCACCATTTAAAATAAATAAATTTAATTTACTCGAAAGATTTTCTGTATACCTCTAATGTTGTCTTCACATATTTTCTGTAAGTACTCTCTTTTTCCTTAAGTGAAATTTACGAGATTTAATTAATTAAATTTAATTAGAATATTGATTATTTTACTTTGGTTTTTACTACTACCTCATTAATAGTATATTTAAATTTAGCTTGGAAACACCGAGTATTCTTTAGTTGAAAAAATTGAAACTATTAAATTTGATTTAGAAACCTCTTGTAAGTTACTTATAATAATAATATATTCTTTGTAATTCTGATTTTATCGATATTAATAGATAATATCTTTCCTGATCTATAATTGATTATATCATTTCAAGTTAAGGCTGCAAACAATAGAATTAGAAATTTATATACTTGAGAGTATATTCTTAAAGAAAACCTTTGAATCAAAATATAGATCTAATTATACTCTTCTTTTATAATTAGAGTTAATATTTTGGAAATTGTTCAAAAATAACTAGTTCAACTTTTAATTTCATCTTTGGAATTTTATAAAAAATTAAGTCAGAGAAAATCATAAATCAATACACAAGAAATTTAATGGTATACATCAATAAGTATAAAAATATATACTTATTGTAATTATTCAATTCTTTTTGATTGAATGCGTTATTAGCATAGATTCAGATGATATGGATTAGTTTTAAAGAAATATTTTAGAAACACAAAGATCTATTATAAGTAATCATTAATTTAAAACTAATAAAATAAGGGAGGAAGAAATAATGAGTACTTTATTTTAAATGCCTCAATTTATTAAATAGATAAAATACTGTTATTTAATTTTATCATTATATTACTACTAAAATTTGAGTGATTTGAATTTTCACACATCCTCCAAAAAGATTTCTAAAACTTTGATAGGATTTAAATTATCAGCAACGTTAATTACTTAATAAATTAAACATTTTGTATTAGATGTATTAATTATCAAATTTTAATCTGAAATTGTCTTTAATTCATATTTAACTTTAAAAATTATAAAATCTAAACTCTATTAGCAATTTTTTTTATATTAATATTAGTACAAATTTTATGGTTTATTGATTTAAAATAAACCTTTAATTATTTTATTTGGAAAACATTTTACATAAACTTGAATAGTCAAGATTATTTAATTGTTCCTAACTAAAATAGGTTATTTTCCATATGTGGATATTTATTAATCAACTTCTAATAAATGGATTTCCATCGGAATCCTTTCTTATTTCAGTGAATCTTGAATTTAATTAATTGATATTGTAGAAAAAAGCATAGGAGGGGCTATTTTATAAGGATTAATGATTAAGATGAGAGCATAAATTATTGTAAAAAACCCATCCACTTTAACAAACAGTACAATCTGTTTTTTATGGCCCTATACATTGAGCACAACCAGTAAAACATTTTGCAAGGTATATATTAATGGCTCTTATTCCCAAGGATGCATTTGTAGTTTTAGTATTATGATTAGTACTCATAGAAATTTAACATTAGGATTATGAATGAAATAAAGAAATTCCAATATTAAATATCAATTCTAATCCATTATTACCGCAAAGCGAATAAATACCTGAAGTTTCAAAAAGAGTTTAATTATAAAGTTTATCATCTATTCCTAAAGAAAATGTCTCATTATTCCAAGAATCTATTTACCAAGCTTAGACATTTATTTACATTTTATAATGTGGAGTCAAATTTTCTATAGTTTTTTCTAGTCTATCATTTGGTGCTAATTAAACAAGATCAAAACTCACACATTTTTAAATTGCAGGTTAGATATTATCATTTTTCATCCATCCATCAAGATTTATCGATTGATGCCATTATTGTAAAAGACCAATCCAAAAATAGCAATTACTATAATCATTATCTAAACAATATAAACAATTCTAAGGACATCTTAATATTGACAAAACAAAATTTCTGATTCCCCAACTTTCCTTTAATATTAATTAAACTGTACATCAACTGGATCTTAATCGAGATTTGAAGTAATTACAAATATTAGTGACTCTGAATTATGATCCAAAATAAAAGTAATTTATTCTTTTAGCTCATTCCAATCATTTCCTATTCCACACATTTAACTTCCTTCGAACCAAAGATAATGTTTTGAAAACACTTTATCATCTACAATTGCATAGATAATCTCATCATAATTCCAACTATCAATTCTACTTTTAATATCATAAATACTTCCAAAATTCGAAAGTTACTCTAACTCCATAATGAGGAGGTAAGGAAAATTACTTAGATATTATTGTATATCTTGCAAATGCATTTATCCCACCAAACAATGTAAAACCATTGCAGGTGGAAAATAAATTTTCATCAAAATTATTACTTACAATCCACCCTAAATAATTTATGGTGAAAATAAGCTTATACATCCATTGTGTCTTTGTCTTGAAAGCTTTGGTAAATAATTTCCCACAATTCTTAAGCCTTAAATAATGATATAAGAATTAGAATAAATAAACTTTATTGATTCGCCATTTGTAGATTACTTAAATAAAATGAATATAATAGATTTATTTGATATCAGATAATACAAAAAACATAAATTATAATTAATAGAACTTTTATCCATACTCCACAACATTTTGAAGGCTTTTTATGCCTAAAGCCAGACCAACTAAACACAATCCAAAAACAAAACAAACTTATAACTAACCTTTTTCTTACACTTTCTTATAACTTTATAAGTTGTAAGATTGAGAAGTGTCATTACGATGTACTTAAGTATTTTTCTTTATCATAAATTTATAAACCATAATTTAAAGTTGTTATCTATAATTATAATTCACATCAATTGTTCTTCATGAAAACCTTAAATAAATGAATACTTAAATAACTGCTTAATTATGTATTATAGAAAAATAACAATATTTAAGCTGATAAATAATTTTGAGAATTTTATATTTAATTGGAAATATTGATAACATAAGCACGAAATGGATTTGGATGATTTGTTTTGATTTATTGAAAAAACTCCAAAATGTGAGCCCTTTAATTAAAATGAAATACATCTTTTTGTTTTTTTTTAATTACATTTTTACAATATGGTTATTAATTGTCATTCATATCATCCGTTATTCCTCATTTTACGTATTTAATCAATTTTTTACTTAGAAGCTATGTTTAATAGTAGACTTCAACAGGATTTATAGAATTATTTGGGGGTATGTGAAAAAAATAGAATAAAATGTCTCAAAAATTTTGATAATAGCAAATGATAGTTGAATGAGACTCCATTTTTAAATGCAATAAGGCTTTTCCCAAATATCCAGATTATTTCATTATTAATATAATAAAATGAGTGAATTTTGAGTCTGAGAATTAAGCGTCTTTATTTTATAATTCATCAATAAAAACATCAAAATATTTGAATTCAGATTAACAAGAATTATATAATTTCTTTTAATTTCAACATTTTTCATTAAGATAACAATACACCTATATTTTCACAAAAAAGGCTTGAGTGACGTTGAATTGGATTTGTGAACAGGTAACATACTATTGAAAAGATTTCTATAACAGTGCATCGTTAAAAATATTATTTGTATTTATTTAATTAAATAATAGAAATTAACCTAAATGCTTGGTATGAGAGTTTAAGGTTTATTTGATATTCATAAAAATGAAATTAATAAGGAAGAACCTTTTTGTTGTTAAAGGGAAATCCTCGTATATGACCTAAACATATCATTCCCTTCATAAGATTCTTAGCTGATACCATAAATACAATCAAAACTATGAATTTCATATAAAAGGTATTTTAATCGAAACCATGATATTGAATAACATTCGAATCTTCTATTCCTTAGTAGATTACAAATATTCAAAAATTGTCCCTTCTAAAAAATCATATATTCCACAATACTATTTTTTTCCAATAATTATAATTTAATTGAATTAATTAAAATGGGCAATATTAACATTAATTGAATTTACACTAGTAATACGACAATAAAATATAAGTATCAACTAGCATGATAATTAAGGGATAATAAGGTATTTTTGTATCTAGCTATTTAGTATAACAAGCATTAATAGTTTAGAATTATTACATGTATTTATTAAATATTTGAGTATTGGAAGTTTATTTAATAAATATATTTTCTCCTATTTTTCTGCTCATTCCTAGTTAATAGAAATAATAACTGCAAACCTACAATTAACATAGTCTAAGAAGAAGATTGTTGATGGAAAGCCCTTGCTATTCTCCTCCATAATAACATTATACATAGTTAAATATGGTCAAAACCCACACACCAACCCAAATGAAACAACACAAATCCAAAGAGTGTGAACTTAACTTTATAAACTACCTGAATTTCGTAACCAAAAACTAGTTAGAAGTCTCCAAAGATCCTTCTTAAACATTTAAACTTTTTTCTTTTTTAAATGAGAAACTTCTCTCTAGTTTAAATGGATTTCCCATTTCAAGTATCTTTTCTCAATGAGATTTGTTCTACTTAACAGTATGCACTCAAAAATCATTTTCAGCGATGATTTCGACAATAATAGCTCAAAGTCTCCTCATCCAATTCAAAAACATTTAGTATGTTCTCATTTTTGTCTAAATCTTACTGAATCTTCATAATATAATTTTTATACTGGTTTTGATGGTAAATTTACTTGTTCGCCAGGCATAGTTGCTGAAAGCTAGAAAATAATTCTTTCTTGTTTTTATTGGCGTGTCCAAATCTATTAATGAAGTAGCTAGGATTAATATGAATTGATGACAATATAAAAATTGAATAAATAAAGACAAGAATGAAGTTACTTAGCTGTATAGTTAATGCATCGACAAGTTTCATGTCATAGAATATGTTATAAGCAATACAATTTGCACAGCCTAAGTGCGGGCAAATAGAGAAATTGCTAGTTATTTTTATAGCTTCTTCCAGTACATAAAAATTTAAGAATAGCGCAATAAAAATAGTAAGTTGAGGAGTATTTTTGAAAAAATCCTCAAAAAACTTTATATCCGTAATGATAATACAGAATTTGGAAGATATCTTCTGGAAGCAATGTCAATGCTGGTGATGCCAATGAAACACTAAAACTTTTAGGTTGTTTAACCTTTAAAACCTTCGCACAACGAACAATATTATTAACTATTAAAATAGGAAGGTTAGAGTTGCTTTTATTAAAGATAATGATGATTCTAATAGAGATATTGCTAATTTTAAGAATGCTAATTTTAAACTTAAAGCTCGCCTCACATATTAATGATATTTCTGAGAAAAATTTGCAAAAGGTTTACTTTATGTTCTAATGCTTAAGCTTGAAAGATTACAGAAATGCTTATAGAAGTATACTACCGATATACCAGTTGATAGTAGGATAATAAATGTGCTGATCTGGCTTTCAAGGTATATGTTACGAGTATCATATAGAATTTGTTGTTTTGTTAATCTAAACAATGATAGCATAGTGTAATGTTTCTTTGTTGCAGAACTAAGGATCTTTTTGATATTCAAACGGTGCAACAACACTAGACTGTAAAGGATTAGTTAATTTTGTTTCCAATCTAACAATTTCTATTGCTGGACCTAACTGTCATAAATCCACTATTTTAACTACTTCCTGATTGTATTTGTGTTTGATTTCGAATACTAGAAAATACTCCTTGATGAATTGTTAAGCTCTTAAACTCTTGTTCTCAATAAATGTCTGCATACTGTATGCGCTGCCTCAACTGGCTTGATATGGGGTGAATTATATAATACTTATGGATAGTACAATATGTACTTCATGTATTAGTGTTAAACAAGCTTTCTCTATAGAACTGCTGTAATAATGTATTAAAAATGGAAAAACACCTTTCTTAGGAATGAGAGAAATTTATGCAACTTTTTCACATCATCAATCCTTTGAATTTAACCTGGCACTTGACAACTTATGATCTCTTTATAACTTCAAGACTAGGATTATCTCTTTATAGTGTGAAAAATTAGAAGAACAACCATGATAATTATTTGTTAAATAGTGTTTGCATCATGATAGTTCAAGTGCCTTTATAATAATCCAAAGATAGTTTTTATTAAAAATACTTCTTCTAGATAACAAGGATTCATCTAAAAGAGAAAATTCCTAAGATTCCATTAAATTTTCTAATAGAGATAATATAATCTATGATAAATAAATCCAAAATTATAATTTAATTAGAATTATTCAACTAAAAATGATTGTAAATTTTATAAAGAATAAATTACTAATAATGAATATATTCTAAAAATAAATTATAAATTGATAAAATCATTTCCAAAACTCTCTACTTAAAAGTTCAGTTACATTTCCATTTCAACATAACATTTTTGATTAAACAAAAGGAAGTTAGTCTATTACATTCTTAGTGGCTTTGCTTTACAGAAATTAATTGTAATTGACCAATAAGATCTAATTCCTGAACATAAAAAAAATATTGAAAAGTATAGTGCAATAAGCACTGATAGGATTTATTTGGCCTGTTGGAATAAATAAAAAAACTAATTATATAATGAGATTTCTGATTAGACCCTCTTTGTTTTACTTAATTAAGTTTGAATAACTTACAAATTCTCTATGAAATATGCATTAATGAAGCAAATAAGCCTATGAGTAGAATTCAATTTAATTCTATCGAAATTTATAATAAATATTAGCTACTATAATAGATTATTACATAAATTAATTCAATAAAGCAACTTCCTTTCCACACCAAGAATATAAGATAATGTAGTTTTTAATCAGGCATATGAGATTATAATTACTAAGAGTATTATTTAAAAATCGCATTTATATTCACTATACAAAAAGAACCATGAAAAAGTTAAAGAAGAATCTGATTTTACTATTGATTAATTGTCAATTAATAACTTCAATATTTTATAAACTAAAAGCAGCAAACCATTCCCTTGAAATTCTTATGTTTTAGGAGTCGCTATTGATTAATTAAGAGATTAAAGAATATCTTCAAATGATGCACTAATGAAATTAAAATTAAAGAATTCTGACATGGTCTAAAATTTTGATAAGAACTAGTAATGCTGACTTTTATCATTAAATATCTATTCACTAGTCTTGAAGAAGTATTCAAGTGTTTTCTTCCACATTTGGTACCTTAATTTCTTCCTCTTAATAAATAGAATATTCTACCTGATGACACATCTATACCTTCCTTTGTTCTTAAATCTTTTTTGGTGTTACTCATCAATTAGCTTATTACTTTAGTAATTCGAATATCTGAAGGAATGCATTGCTCAATCTCTTGACTCCATCGAGGCTATACACAGGTATCCTATGGATAAAATATTTCTTTATTACTATTCGAATTCTTACCCATCATTAATCCCTCCTAGTTCTGTGTTTCCTGAGTATCCGTATAAAATTTGAAGGATTTCTGCACTTGGAAGTCCTGGAATAGGGAAAATGCCTGAGAAAGTTTGCTAGAATGCTATTTGACTCCTTGCAAGTTAATTTTTTTATTAATTTTTTTC